AACTGATTAATTCTACTGAGCTATACTAATCTAATTTAAGTTGGATTGATTTGGTTATCATATACTAATGGATTCAATTGCTTTAAAAATTTCCCTAATTGATTAAATTAGATTAATTTAAAAAATATTAAAATCCAAACTAAACTACACTGCAAACACCCGTATATATTAGCCCCATGTTTAACAAAAAATTACTAAATATAATAAAAAAAGTTCAGTATTTTATTGTTTGAACTATACAAAATTATAAAATATCAATTGGTTAGCATCTATTATAAAAAAACCTCTTATCATTTTAATAATTAATATTTTATAATTTGATATGATTTAGATGATAATATTTTTTTAATAATAAAATAAGCAAAGTCAAAAATTTATTTGCACTTATTCTCCCTGTTGCCCTTTGATTACACGCAAAACCGATGATGATTACAGAGATGATGCACAACGGTGATTTGTGTGCTTAGTTAATTAAATAAAATAAATTTATTTTGTTTTCGTTGATTTATCATTAAGATTGAAGAAATGTGATTATAAATAGTGGCCATGGAACTAGTGGCACCAATTTATTTGTTAAGGTTATCAAAATTTTGTTAAAAAAACTATTAATTTAGTTTAATTTTGAATGTTAAGAATAATTAATAATTATTAAAATAATTATTATTCATCATTTAATAAATTAAAATTAATTTTATAAATAGATATTTTTAGATATCATAATTATCTATTTAGAAAAAAATTACAAATATTAATCAAATTAAATATAATTTTAGTGTCCTTAATTAAAAAATAAATTGGTGGGCGTTATAAGTTGATTTCACTCTAGGAAAAATAATAGTTAGTTCAAGTAATATAATGATGAAAATCAAATATTGTCTCGTACACATGGTAGTCTAATTAAAAACCAAAATTAAATAATTCTAATTTTAGTTAAATAATTGGAATTAAATTATTTAAGTGAACTAATGAACTAAACAAATTAAAGAAAAATTAAATTGACTTTAAATGATATAAAGAGTTGGAATTCTAAGACATCCAATTTTACCATAATCAATTACTATATAATTTAGATTAATATATTTTTAAAATCTTTACTACTCATGTAACAACTAAATTTCCTATTATATTCGACATATTTTTTTTCAAATTATATCAAACCTATATCTACTTATAAATCCACTATATCTCTATTGAATTTAAATAGATAAAATTACGTTATGATTTGTGAAATTCCCAAGTTTACATAAAAAATTAAGTTCACTTATTATTAATGTTACACAAATTATGTTTGTCCATCTTTGATTTTTATTTAATTCATTATATATATTATTAGAAATTATTACATAAAATCTCTTTTTGATTTCAATTATACTCCTTAAATCAATTTTAATGGTGGTCAATCAACAAAAAATATTAAGAAAAATAATATATTTTTTACATAAATTAATAAGTCTTGAAAATATAAAAAAATTAAAATTATTTATCAAATTGATCAAACTATAGTATAGCCTTAGATAACTATAAGAGTGTTGAGGGATAAATTTGTATTGCTTTGGAATTTACAACATGTACAATGTCACATTAGCAAGACTGGCTTTGGACTTGTGACTAGGAAGGGCCCACATAATCTATTTCAACATTAGACATGCTGCTTCTTATTTTTGGCTAATGGCTATAATAGAGTCAATATCGCTAGAAGCGACATTCATCTACTTCATTGGAAATATTGCAGACATGTCTACTTCAATACTATTCTTGTATACATGGCCATATATGGCTATATTTATCTTTATGACATGGCTGGGCATTTCTTGACAGTTGTGATCTTTATTGCTATTTTTATTGCTACAATTGGCTCCCAACAATGGCTAAAGAGCCTATCTTACTATATATACATAGCTCCCATCAAAAGATAATGAATTGATTTTATCATGCGTATAGCTTCCGACAATGGACAAAGAGACAAACATTTACTTCTACATATCTTTATCATTTGTTCCAATTAATGGACAATGGGTTGATACTATTACATCTACACAGCTCCCAATGATAGACAAAGGGCAAATTTGCTATTTTATTTAGCCTCCAAAAATAGGCAAAAGGCTACATACTTTTACACATTTTGCTATACTTGCTCTTGAAAACAGACAAAGGGTCAGATTTCTCTCTACACATTTAATCTTACTGGTTCTCGAAAATGGACTAAGAGTTAGCACAACTTGGTATGATTAGCATGAGACTAGTAATAGTTTCAACCCTGCAATTACTTGGGATGGTTACCTAATGCAAAGAAGGTAGGGGTAGAACAAAACAAAAACTAAGAACTTTGTAAAATTAAAGATGGAACCAATAAAACTTAGGTTTGCAACCTCAAGTTTATTCTCAACTAAAATATCATAACAAAATTGTCTTTGAAATCTACAAAGAATAACTATTTATACTAACAATAGCTAAGAATCCTAATTCAATTCCAATTTGAAC